TGACTACAATATCGATAAACACTTTCGCATTTATCAGGGTGTATTGTCCATTTAACCATGCTTGAATTATCCATTAGAACAACTCGATGCTGTCTCATGTTCTAATGATTCAAGCATGGTTAAATGGACGATAAACACCTTCTAAATACATAACAGGAATTGCTTATCTCCTAATTAGCCATATCGGCACATTACTACAGTTTTGACCACAAAAGAATTAAATGTTACAACCTTTATAGACTGCTTAGACAAGATATGTTATCATCCAATGTACCGTATGATTCGCAGAGAGACATGTTTCATCCAATGTACCATATAATTCGTGGAGAGACATGTTTTGCATTCTTTTTAAGTAAAAGCTGACATATAGAGCAGGGGCCCAGGGGGGTCAACCTAGCTGAAAAGTGTACCAATTTTCTACTATATCATATGGTATCAATGCATGCATATCTGGTATCATCAGAATGTAAGTCTGCCGGGTATCTGGTGGTGGGCATGGTATTCCAAGCCCAAAATGCAATGCCCCCAAACTAGACTAGATTAACTCAAGAGTGTACCGTTTGAAAATCGTACAGCAGTGTACCGTACATCTTTAAAGGACAATATTGGTGCCAGTCATTATCACATATGTGATAGAACTGGTTAAACACATTCCAAATATAAATTTAACAGAGAGATCACTGCTACGATAGCTGAGTAATACAGGATTCGCGAATCGGAAGTGACAAACGGCAAAGGAAAACACTAATAATTCCTTCGAAGACCAAAAGTTGTTATATGGGACTGTAAGAGGATAGCTGACAATTCAATACAGTAATTGAATGTCATTAGATAAGAGAACACAAGAAAAATAGAAATAGTCCGTACATTCCCTTGTTTATATTCATTCTATAGAGGAGAGCGGGGCTAGTTCGCACCATTTTTAATGAAACCAACATATCTTGATAACTTTTGAAGCTACGTTACCGTAGACCAGTGATTCCCAACCAGTGTGCCGCGGCACACAGGTGTGCCGAGAGATCTTCCTATGTGTGCCATTTAGTTTGAGCCATACTATGTATCTATGACTAGTCTGAGACTACAGTTGCATGCTGTCTATGATTTGCCATGTTTTTTATTTTGCAAAAAAATCAAATATTTTTCATATATATTAAGTCGGGTGTGTCGCTGTTTTTTCATGTGTTTCAAGGTGTGCCGTTGGCACAAAAAGGTTGAGAACCACTGACGCAGACCATACTAGATTAAAGACAGTGGAGTTGGCTAATTTATGGCATACATTAAATAGTTTTATTGACAGGCGTATACAAGTAATTTCATCTCAAAGTCACCATGTCCGAATGGGCGAACATCAAGCCTCGGTTGTATGACAGTAAATGATATGTACCTACGCCTATACAATTGCGATGAGGCACCGGCTTACTTATGCCCCCGTCAGACCGGGGTGGCGCCCTTACTGCGCTGCTGCGACCGTACGGCGACCAGAAAATGCACAAGGTCGCCGGCAAACGTGAACACAACACGCGAAAATGTCCCGAAAAACTACATAGTTTTCTCATAGTTTTATAGTTTAGATCGCAGAACCTTGGCGTTTGCTTTGAACATGCTCAAAATAAACGCAGTGACTTGGCAATCATTGGCGACCATGGTGACTACAGCACGATAGCTGGCGTTTCCACTACGCTTATGGCAATCTTAACGCGCTCTAAAACTATTTTCCATCGCCGTAGCAACAAAGTAAGGACGCTACCCCGGTCTGACGGGGGTATTATTAGGAAAACTTGCCGCTTTTAGAAAGAAGTTCTCAAAACTTCGTCGTTCGAAGTGTATGTAGACTTTTCAGTTCAAACTGGTCCGTGTCTAAAGGAAATAGAATAAACTTGAAAGAAAAACATTCTTTAAATGCGTCGTCATGGGCAACGGCGTTGGTAATCCGGAACTTGAAAGTAGTCCCAATGGCGGACTTCGTCATACAGTCGAGTGGGCGCGAGATATGAATGGGGTCAGACTAACCCCGCTTTCCCCTACCTTATAAAAACATGGTAATGCACGGACTTTTTTTCTGTTTTTCTTTCGTGTTCTCTTATCCACTGGCAGTCAATTCTTTTTATAAATTGTTAGATATCCTCTCACAGTCTCACACAACCACTTTTAGTCTTCGAAGGAATTATTAGTGAGCAGAAATTCGCCCATGTATCTATTATCCGTTGGCACTTCAGCCAGTTATATAGAGGTATGTCTCGTGTTTTCCTTTGGCGTTCGTCACTTCCGATTCAGGAATCCTGTATAACTCAGCTATTGTAGCAATGATCTCTGTGTTAAATTATATTTGGAACGTGTTTAATTAGTTCTATCACATATGTGATAATGAATGGCACCAATATTGTCCTTTAAGTATTACAAAAACACTCAGACATTTCTAGTGGTTGGGTTCCCCTGACAGAGTTATGGCCCTTGATCACTATGAAAAATCTTGTGGAATCTCTAGAGGTTAAAGTTAATATCAGATTGAATTTAAATTTATACACAGTGTTTAAGATCATCAGATGAAGAAACCTATTGATTTTCAACGATTTCCAATAATTACTGCCAGAGTTATGGCCCTGATCAATTTGAAAAATTGTGTAGATGCTTTATATTTATATACTGCGTTTACGCCTACATATAATCATTTTGATTGAATTTAGATTGATACACAGAGTTTATGGTCTTGAGAAGAAAAAGTATATTGATTTTCAATGATTTTTGATAACTTGAACAGCTAAATCCATGATATTAAATGTTTTGTACGTATACTAAACGTTAGCATGGGCCAAACAAATTCTAATGATTTTCTGTTAATTACTTAATGAGTTGTTACTCTTAATCAGGTTTTAGTGTATTATAAAGGTTTCATTACCGACAACTCTTGTTGACTGCCCGAATGATTTAGCTGCTGTGGACGTATGTTTTGATGTCTGGCAACCTATCTTTGTTACATGGGAATCTGTCAAGTATTTAATGTTTTCTGGTCCTTTGTTGACTTAATTTCAATGAAAATTCTATTTTCCAAAACCATTTTGTAGGTTATACTTTGAGGTATTTGACTATGGTTTGGAATATTACTGCTGGGTTACAGATCCTGTTTGTGTTTCATAAAATTCCTTTAATTTTTATACGCCCACATTTTCATGTGGATGTATAGTGTCGTCCGGACATCTATCCACAATTTGTTTGTGGACACTCTACAGATCACAATTCTTATCCAATTTTGACGAAACTTGAAATGTAGGTTTATCTCCAAAAGATATTGGCTCCCTTTGATATTGGCATGTTTCGGATCGAAACAAGTTTTTAGCTTGTGGACACTCTAGAGGTCACAATTTTTATCCAATTTAGATGAAACTTGAATTGTATGTTTATAACCTAATCATCTCGGTTCCTTTCGATAATCGTGCATATCATATCACAACTTCATGGAATATGGCCCCTGAATGTACAATCAATCGTGTTTTTTGCTTGTGGTCCCTTTAGAGGTCACAAATTTTATCCAATTTAAAAAAAAAAACGTTCAAATATATCACCATTACATCATAATGATGATTGAGTTTGAATTTCATGAAAATCGGACCAAAACTGCCAAATAAAATGGCCACTCCTTGTACACAAATAGTGTTAAAATATGTAAATTACATATCAAGTTTGTTGAGCCTCTAGAGGTCACAATTTTGATCCAATTTTGATGAAACTTAAAATATATGTTTCTATCCCAAACATATCCTTTCGATATTCGCGCATATCGGAACATAACATTCTGGATTATAGCCCCTGTTTGTACGAAAAATTGCTTCTTTTTTTTTTTAGCTTGTTCTCTGTCCATCTCTTGCGAGATGTGGGCGTATTTTGCATGGCGACCGCTTGTTTAATGAATTATGGTCCTTTTATTGACTTAAATCAATAAAAATCCTGTTAAACTTTAAGGTATGGTAATGGTATTTGATTAAGGGTTGGTACACTGCTGTATATAGACTGTATTGCAAAGTTACAGACCATTTAAGTGAAAATTCAGTTTACAGAATTTATACCATCTGTACATAGGATTATATATTCATAGAATGCAGTCATTGTTTTTTGAGGCGTGTGGTTGATTGTGAGCGCCGGTCGTGCACCTAATATCAACCGAGGGCAAGGGGAGGTTTTTCTCCCTCGCCTTGAAATTGAAAATCACTCTCCTTACGAGTGATGGCACGTGAAAATTTCCAATGAGAATAATTCCGGAAGAAATAGATTATATTTTAATGGAATTTTCAAGCTTTTATGATTATATTTTGACTAGGGGTTATGTTTTTAAACAAAATTTATGCACTCTATATATATTTCGAAATGTCGACAAGTAATTCTATTGGAATACCGTAAGTAGTTTTTTTTAGACGATAGCAAAAGTTTGACTTGACCGTACGACTACGACACAAGTACTATTATTTAGTAGACGATGTTTATTATCATTTATGTAACCAGGAATGACCCCTTACACACAGGCATTGATCTTCAGAACCATTTTTCATACATACAAATAATCACTCTCCTTAATATCCTTAATTTCTAAATCACTCTTCTTATCGAAACTGGGAGAGCTTTTTTATGGTGCCAAAATTTTCAATTTGTTCATTAAAGCATCTATGATTAGGGGGAGATTTTTCGGCTTTCCTCTAAAATACAAAAATACCCAACAACTGAGAATGTATTCACACTGTCTGTCTCTTACAGATATCTATGCATGTATTATAAAGTTTGTCAGGGTAGTTAGTAGACATGATTCAGCAATACAATCAGAATGCTTGTTTCTAAATGAATAATACTAAAAACAATTCTGCATTAATGTGACCCGAAGTGCATTATTCTACTGATATGTTATTACAAACGGCTTGGTAGATTTGAATGTGTCTTATTCAGCTGTTTAATCACAGGTTAGCCATTGACTCTGTAATATCGACCAATTTAAATGTTATATTTGAATGTTTTAGGCAATGTAGCCAACTTAGATGTGAATGTAACATTTACCTTACCATTTGAATGGAATACAACTAGGTGTATTGATGAAGAATGTGACCCTGTTAAAATACTTACATGTATAAGTTTTCAAGCTCCTGTTTCATTTTTTCCAAGAACCAGGTAATCACACATTCTTAATTTCAATGTATGGCCCTATTGAGCGGAATTTCCCTCATAATTCTAATTCCTAAGGTAGTAATGCGTATGCTAATATGCTTGCTTCTATGCATGTAACTTCTTACTAACACATGTTAAATTGGCTATTTACACATGTAAAAATTCTAATTTATATGACTTATTTTTTAAATATTGCAGTTAGAATTTGTATTTTGTTCTATTTCCATTATTACTCTTAATTTATTGTACGGTAGTCAGTTTAGCTCTGTTAACATTTTGACATTTTACAAATGTTTCGCGGTAGAGTCCCCATAATTCTAAAGCTCATTTTGATAGACGGTACTGTTTACAATTCTATGGTGGCTTATTGGGAACATGTAAACGCGCCCTTTCCACAACCCGACAGGCATGACGATATTTTTCTGTCAAAAATAATAAAATATTTTACGTACAAATAAATAAATAGGCTATTTTATTGTGCATTTTCACAAATAATGCACTATCAATTGTTTTGACCTATTTGTTTTCTAAAAGAATAATATATAGCGAGAACTCATTACGTCATGCATGAAAGTGAATACATAAATATAAATCGGTCATGCTTGATTAGCTTATCTTTTCCCTTTCAAAATTATGAAATATTTTATACACACAAGTTGAGTATTTTTGATATCATTGAAGTAATCTATATCGGGTCAGGCTTCCAAATCATTAGGAGCTGCGGTGGCTCGGTAACCAGGAGGTCTCGGGTTCGCTCCTGGAGTTTAAAGAGACAGTTCCTCAGGTTTTCCGGCGTGCTTTCCACCTGTCAGTGCCTGACAAGGAACACTATTAATGGGACGAAAACCCAATGGTGTGCACCAAGAGTAGGCCATAAGCGCCCCTGTCCATACAAAAAACGCTGAAATTGCGCCTTTCATTGCGTATGCCCATCTTCATTAGCACAGTCGGTGCATAACAGCAGGACGTTAAACTTTATTTCAGTTCCAAATCACCGGTTTTGTGTTAGGAAGCAGGAGGACTCTTTCGGGATTGGGCATATGATTCATCGTCCTTATTGATCTAATTCTATAATTTGGTGTCATAACTAAACAAATCTAAAATTGGTATAGTTCTAGATTGTTTACATTCTGTCAAAGTCCCATATTATACTCCCGTTGAGGGGTTCCGGTAGGGCTGTACGATATTGCAAAAAGGGACGATATCGATATTGGCATTTTTTCAACGATATAGTTAAATATCTCGATATTCAATAATAATGTCACTTTGCTATTAAATAAATTAAAATGCATTAAAGCTGACTACAGTGTGAGTAAGAATTGTGGGTAAGAATTGCTTTATTCATATACTTTAAACTTTGGTTTTTTTTATAATATAGATTTATTAAAATGAACAAAACAACATCCTTTTTGGATAAAAATTAAATACAACCGCTGACGTTTAAAAAGCGTCTGCTTTTGACCTTGTGTAAGAAAATTCTCAAATATCACGTGCAGCGGAAGTGAGTAGATGCGGTCTTCAAGTCTTGTATTGTAAGTTCAAACAGTTTAACAAATACTAAATGATCCGGACTATCTTCCATTCAAGCATTCGATTGGCTGCGGTATTCCTGGCCTCACATTGACAGTAATCTATTTATAGATCGTTTTATTCTTGCTTTCAGAAATTAAGTTTCGTAGAGTTTTCTAAAAATATTTGTTTTTTAAAAATATGACAACCTATTTATAGCCTGGTAATTAGCCGCGGTAGTGGGAAATTTCAGGCGTTTAGTAGGCCTAAGCTTTACATGTAGTAACAACTGACAATTTATTGTCGACTAAAAACAAAGTAAAAGTAACGCATACACGATGCAGTGAAAAACCGGCTGCGGACACTGCGCAAGTGTTTTCAACATTTAACGATTCTCAAAACATTAGTTTTATGAAAGTTTTTTGCCGTCGGCTAATTTCCACTGCTGTATAGTGTATTTATTATCTATTTTTATGATAATTTTTTTTCGATATTTGAAGTTTTGGGCGATATTCGATAAACCACTATATCGACGATTTTTGGCCACATGATATTGTAGTTGGGTCTGAAAATACCATATTGCGATAAATGACTATATCGAGAATATCGTACAGCCCTAGGTTCCGGGGTAATTGTCACCACCCCTCCCTTCTTATATTTTAATGTTTCCATGCCTATAAATTTTGAATCAATAAATTTATACCAATGATACTTGACAGGACTGCAAAGGTACATAACCTTAAAACTGATTAGTCAACATAGGGTAGTATACAGGGATCGAATTTGACGGACGCAAACACGCAAAATGCGTGTTGATTTTGTAGACTGCGTGTCACAAAATATGTCAAACGAAAAAAAATGCGTTTAACATTTTTTCGCTTATTGTTACTGAATAACATGATTTCTTCTTTACGCAAAATCAAGATCATAATTATGACAAAAACCGGAAATTCTATAGATTATTTTCCGTCCTAAGTTCCTTGCAAAATGTAAATAAAGCGATATCTATATCCGGCGTTTTGTGACATCTGAGCATGCATTTTTCCCCCCGAACTGATCGGGGGAAAAATCTTATATATTTTATCGGCTAGGAGTTTACCCTATTCAATAAAAACAATACACACATATCATAAATGATCTCTTTTAGTGTTCGACTATATGTCCTTTCATTATTGTCATTATATTCCATCAAACAAACTCCGACATCGGTCAAAAATATACGTTGCTTTCACGTTACCGCCACGGGGATATATCGCAGTTTTGATTTTTCTGGATGATATTTAACACAAATATTGAAAAAATGTTTACCTCTTGATGTTATTTACGACATTTTATTGCTTAATGATGAATAAATACTATAAACTAAGGAGCTTTGTTTACGTCACGTGACTTCTCGCTCTTTTTTCCACCCGTTAGCATTATCTGTTTCTTTTCAATTTCTATAACCATTGATTTTCAGATTGAAATAAATTTTAATAAAGCAGAAATATAAATAATGCCGAGAGTTCCGGTAGACTGATTTAATTATCATTCACTTCAGCGTCGGGCGTACGTGTCATGCATAGCTGTCCGTGATCCAAAAAATTGCTAAATCAATGGACACTTTTTGACATAGTACTTATGTTTTATAGTTTAATTTACTATCCTTGTATTATATAATGCATCCTCGAGAAGGTATACGCTTGAATGAGAAAAAACGAGTTTTCAAGGGTAGCTATAAAAATATGTACGGCCGAATGAACACAAACTTTTTTTTATGTTTTTTCATTAAAGAAAAAAATTGCCCCTTGAATTTCTTCATAATCCTATTTTTGCTTGTACATTTGAAATCAACAAGCAAAATTTTGCTTGTGTTTTTTCAAATAAAGTTCTATCCCTGGTAGTAATACTAGTATAGATAAATATTATGCTTTTAAGATTTTACATCCACCCATATTTCCATGTATTATGCCATCATCAGCCCTGTCCGTACGTGTGTGTACGAGTCACAATTTGTTATCCGACTTTGATGAAATGTAACTATATGTTGATATCCCAAAGATCTCTGATGAATTCGATTTTTGCACATATCTCACAATAACATTTTGGATTATAGCTCCTAATGGTACAAAAGTTGCACACATAGCTTGTGGATCCTCTGGAGATCACAATTTTTATTCAATGTCTTTTAAAACTTAAAATGTATGTGTATATGATAAAGATCTCGAATAGCCTAAATTTTCTTTCAAAATTGTCAAGAATGGTTTACGTTTGTATCTATGTTTGAAAGAGAGAGAGAGAGAGAAATGAGGTTTAAAGTCCTCTTGACTCAAACTAGGTCATTTCAGGACTAACATAATATGGTTCAATTTTATTTCAATAATTCGATTGAGCGTAGGGGTCTTTAGCAGTGGGAGGAAACCGGAGGACCCAGAGAAAACCGATGAGGTTGGACAGGCAACCCTACTCCTTGTTACGTACAACCGGGGAATCGAAACCACGCCAGTTGACTAAATGACAAGCTTTATGATACAGCACACACACACTAACCCAATCTGGTTAAAACACAGATCCTATAAAAAGACACAGTTTCACATGTCCTCAATGGGCCACCATATAGTAAACAGCGCCACCTGTTACCATAATGAGAGTTAGAATTATGACTTATCACAACGGGTTAAAAGGGAGTCATAATTGCAACGCTCTCATTATGCTAACAGATGGCGCTGTTTACTTTATGGTGGCTCATTGGGGATATGTAAAATCACACCCTTTTCATAATCCTTCAGACATGACATTTTTCTGTCAGAACTAATAAAATATTTTACGTACAAAAGCAAATTATTCTAGATATGTTTCAGATGAATAAAAAGGCTACTTTGTCGTGCATTTTCCCTAATACGGCCATATCAATTGATTTAGCCTCTTTTTTTGCAATGTTCGTACTCAGTAATTTTTAGAGAAGTGATAGGCCATTCTTATACGCCGTCGCCCCCGTCCGTCCCTTCCGTGCATCGTCCACAATTTTTTGTGAACACTCTACAGACTACATTTATCATCTGATTGTTTTGAAATTGATATATGTTGTTTGCATTAGTGAGATAAAGAATCCTATTGAATTTCAGCAATTTCCGTTAATTACATCTAGAGGTATGGCCCGTGTTTCACGTTGTTGCATCTTGTGAATGCTCTCAAATGATCTGTATGGAATTTATATGCATCATTTAAATTAGTAAAACAAAAGAATCCTATTGAATTTCAGCAATTTCCATGGCCCTTGTTTCACTTTGTTGTACCTTGTGAATGCTCTGACAACAAAAGTTATTATCCGATCTGTATGAAATTTATATGTATGGTTTCAATTAGTAAAACGAACAAGCCTATTGAGTTTCAGCAAATTTCCGTTAATTATATCTAGAGTTATGGCCCTTGTTTCATTCTTTATTGAATCTTGTGAACGCTCGAACGACAAAAGTTATCACTCAATCTGTATGAAATTCATAGGCATCATTTAA